TGACCCGAGGTATGTCGGATGTCGGGGCACCAGGGACTTCCTTTCTAGGGTATACCTGGTTCCCCGGCTATTAGTACCCGAGACGGCGTGCGGTTTTAGTCGGTTCGAGTCCGACATGCCACCGAGAGGTGGTATCCGAGGGGATTTCCGCACGGAAAAAAAAAAAAAAAAAAAACAAAGGGGTTTCGAGAGCGATTAATCGATCTAGCTAGGTTTCATTTTTAGAAAATTTACCAAACAAACAATACCGAGCAATCCTCGACCGCTCGCACTCGACTCGCAAAGATGACCGATCAGGTACTTTTATCTAATACCTTTAAACGAGCAACCCTTGTACCTATATACAATGAATCTCGGAAACGGCTCCAACGATTTTCATTTCAGATTTTGAAAATTTACCAAAAAAATACCGAGCAAAACTCAGTCATCCACGTAATGTTAATGAAGACAGTATAATTAACTTAATAACCTACTGTAGGATTAAGAATACAAATTGTCACCACCCCAATTAATCCCGTGGGTGTCGTATGAGCCGACTAAGGGAGCAAACTAAGCAGGACAACAGCACTGCAAAGAGAAGGAAAACTTGAAACAAACCCTATACCAACCCGTCTGGCCAGCGTGGTATAGTAGGTCAAAACCTCCTTTCTCAGGAGAGGCTTATGTCCAGCAGTGGACTAGTATAGGCTGTTGATGTGATGTGATGTGAACCTACTGTAGAGGTAGCCGATGTCTTGACAGTAGGATGGTCTAAATCATAAACTTTGATTTCAGTTGTTACAGAAGAGTTAACCTAGTATTATACTTTTACAATAAAAATAGTCTAGTTCTAAAAAAGTTTCTTTGGTAAACGGTCTGTTCCATAATAATTTATGAAAATATCTAGAAAAGAATAGCGTTCTTTGTATGATGAACTCGATATTATTACTCGTGATGTAGGCGGGATGAGTAAGGTTGTTAAAGTTGTTAATGTAATAGGTATTATTGATATATGTTTTAACAACAAATGGCTACACTATTGTATTAGGTACAAAACCAGTAAAAAAGTTGTATTGTGTGTCATAAATAAATATTAATTTATACATACTTCTAAAATTGTACAAATTTCAAGCGTACACATGTAAGTACTACTCGTAGCCATTTGTAGCATTACAAACAGTTTTTTGCCACTCACAGTGGTCTCTGTAAAATGTCCTTTATACGGATAAAGTGAAATACATATTGTCCAGTTTCAAGAGCATAGCTCCGTTTTTAAAAAATATTTTTGGGTGACAATTGAGATCTGACATAATCATAGTCGTCGACAGGGAGTAAAAGTAAAAAGAGTAAACACACTGCAATTTTCGGGCTGACAAGCTTTTAAATTTACAAATTGAAAATGTGCGCGCCTGTTAAAAACAATTTTGAAACTTTCTCGTGGCTTTTACGAGAGCAAAAATAAAATATTTAGACCTCATCCATTTCTGTCTACAGTAATCACCCGACTTCTTATACTAGTGAGGCGTCAGGTCGCATTGGGTGCTTTGACCTGTCTTGGTTTAACTTAGACGGGTCAATGACTCACTTCATACGCAACCACCAGAACAGCAGAGTGGTCTATAGTCTGGTCGGATATATCTGCCTTTCGCTCCGACTAGGAAAGAGGACATAGGCTTTCGCTATACTTAAAAGAATATTTTAAGCACTTGTGAATTCATTTCTAGTAGAAAAGTATTATAAGAGTACTATCTGTATCCTACCATGCCTCGCTGTGGAACATCGTAGTTGCAAATAATAGATAAAACCAATCTTTAAACTGAACTATTATCGTATATCGTGTGAAAGTTTCAGCTCATTCGGATCGGTACTTTTGATTTTTTGCAACGTACACAAACCAACATATTTTTTTTTCCGTGCGGAAAACCCCTCGGATACCACCGAGATATCGGTGGCATGTCGGACTCGAACCGACTAAAACTGCACGCCGTCTCGGATACTAATAACCGGGGAACCAGGTATACCCTAGAAAGGAAGTCCCTGGTGACACAAACCAACCTAACATTTTTATATAAATTATATTATTTTATCAACCTCGTTACATTATAATCCATATAAATTAAAGTTATCTAGTTGTGGTAATATAAACCTATTGATACATTCTAGACATCCCGACTGATTTGTTTTAGATGTCCAAATTACGAACATTGAGCCGGGATATCAAATTACATGCCACAAAATTTTCCCACACGCTTATTCTAAATCACCCAATTCATCTAGTCTTCACTTGATAGGCGACAATATTTCTTAGCATTGAACAACCTTCAATAATAGAATCCAACCAGTTCTCAAATATGGGAGACAAACCTTTTTTATTTGTGACGTTGATTGTTGTGTAAATATAAGCTAATGGAATTTATGTTGCCTTGAATCAGTTTTTTTATCCATCTCAATTTTTTAAATAATAAATATTAAAATATAGAGGCCTAAAATAGACACAACTAAAAACCATTAGTAACTCATAATTATTCAAGAAGAGTAATTACAGGTTTAATAATTAATTATTACTTATTATATAAAGCAAAGTGAAAAAGTATTTTCTACAAAATCGGTCAATCCGTTTAAGAATCTACAGGGTATATATTATGACACTACAGAAAGATACATAGAGACAAAGAAACAAAAATGATAAACTCACAACCCTCTCCATGTCACTGACGTTAAGGGGGGAGCTCTTTGCGTCAGTGGTTAATAATAATCATTTATTAAATTTATGAATTAAACAAAATATAAACGTTTCGTACGAACGTTATAAATATAAATCCTTTAAAAAAAAGTTGATCCGACTTTAAACAATACTGTCAAAGAGCAATAAAAATATAAAAATAATTACAAATGTAAGTAAAAAACCTATAATAAATTCCCTCAATATAACAGATAACATTATTATAGCAATAGTCCCTTCTAGTCTGTTTGAAGTCGGTGCCAAGCCAAATAGGTGCTTGATAGGATTGGTAGAATATAGCGCGGCAGCTGCAACAGTCTTCATGCTGCGCAAAACATGCTGAACGAGCTAAAGTGGGCTACGCACATGTCCAATGATATTATTGTTTTGAATGCTTTATTAAATAGTTGATTAAATTCATCTGGTTGGTTTTTATTAATTAACAAAATCTGTGATGTTTCATTAGAATTATAATGAATTCTTTATTTTTTATTGTGATAATATAAAGCTGACATAGACGAGTATTACTTATTGTGCATCAGGCTTGGCACCGACTTCAGACAACAGATTAGAAGAGACTATTCCTATAATAATGTTGCCTGTTATATTGAGGGCACTTATTATCGTTTTTTACTTACATTTGTAATTATTTTTTTAATTTTTAGTGCTTTGTCAGTATGGTTTAAAGTTGGTTCAACTTTTGTTTAAAAGGAATTATTTTTCCATTTTTAGTGTAAGATACGTTTGTAGTGAGTAGATAAGTACAACATTTAAAACACTACGTACCGTAATGTATAGTACCAAACTGTAGTATGTTAGATAATATTAAATATAGTTAATAAGTCTGTTACTTTAGTTAGGTAAGGCAGTAAGATGTTACATTTGAACCCAAAAATATATTATTTTCCAAATAACTTCATTTTCCAAAACTAGGAGTGGTATTTTTTCTTCACATTTGAATGAAACTAAAGGGTGAACATTACTAAACATTTTTTTCAAATCGGTTTACAAATGAAAGAGTTTTGAGGGAACAAACATGAAAATAATTTCGTAGCAAAATTATTTTTTATCTAAATGTTTTGTAATCTTATATATTACTCTTTTGTGCACATATCTCTGTTACCCAACACAAACACCTAACTTGAACACCTAAATATCTTGAAAGAAAAAACAAGGTCAATACATGATTAGATTTTTGAGTTATCCTCTAACTTCTAAAGGTCAAGGATACTTTCATCATCAGCTCAGCTACATGACATAACGACTACTAAACGCAAATACCTATAAAGCTAGAGAAATAAACTAAAACACGTTGTCAGGGCTGTCAAATTTGAGGGCTCCCCTCATCAGATCCTAATTTGGTGATAATAGGACCACCTCAGGAGCATATCCTTTCGATTACAAAAAGAATTTTGAAAATCGGTAAACAATTCACGATGACATCGCTTAACAAAGATAGAAAAAAAAACAAGAAAAAAAAAACAGACGAAAAACTCCTATTTTATCTAAACCATGTTTCATCCCTTAAAAAATTGATTACTTCTATCCATACGAGTTTCACCCCCCAAACTTAATTTATTTTTTTTTGCCCTAGAATGTAGACGCATTATGTGATAAACGACTTCTTTGGGGAATTTGTTCCAATCTCGGGCGTGTATTACTCGCTCTGAATCAGCCGTAATTACAGATACGACGCTCAATTTTTACTGGCATGAAGGCAACGCGTCGTATTTGGTTTGAGTAACAGCATTATTTGTTGAGAATTTCTCCGCAGCATCTTGAACAGTTGTATTTACTACATAGTTAATTATGTGTTGTTGACATTTAGAATATTTTCTATTTATTAAGAAAAGCGAACCCAGATCTCTTTAACCATAGCTTTAATATATCTAACTGACTATAAAAAGGAGGATATTCTCAATTCGATTTTACTTTTTATGTTCGTTAGATAAAAACTCTGTCATTATGAATCGATTTAGATTTTTTTTTTAATTATTGATGGTATATTTTCTATTTGATCTTAAATTTAAGGAAAAAGTATCACCCCTACGATTCATCATGATGTAGGCGAATTGATTTTACTTATTTTAAAGGTTAAATATATTTGTCCTCTGAACTTATTTGTTTTTATGATCATTATTTTATATATTGTTATTTTTTTAATAACTAATTCTAAATCGAATATTTCAGAAGGCATTACAACATAAGTGAATCTAAAATGATCAATTTCTTTAACGGCTTGTTGAGTTTAGCACACTTCGATCAGAATATTAGAAACTTACAGAATTTTTCCGATATTATGTCCATTTTGAAGCATCATTATTTTACTGTGGACACCATCATGGAGGAGGTGGGTAGAGATTATTAATCAGTGATTTCTTTTTCAAATATATGTAAGTTTATATTAAAGGGGTTTTTACCGTAATCTAAAATTTATTTTCAGGTGCATCAAAAATGTTCGAATCTGGTGATGTACTGCACCTTCAATAGAAAACGAAGGAATTGCGCAGATATTTTCTTCTTGGTAAAAACTTGTTTTGGGTATTGTTGTGCGTTCAATTACGCAGCTCTAAAAGATGCTAGCGAACTGTAAGTTTGGTTATAATATTCATCCTAAGTATTAAGAAAAATTTTACTACAGCAGAAATAAAATCTGGTCAGCAGTCAGTAACATTTTTTGACCATGTTTATATCTATATATAAAGTAATGTCTTGCCTTGCCTTATTCATTGTTTAAGTGACAACTTATAGTTGTTATCATCGATTACTGAAGCTTCTGGTGAGCATCTTCACTTGCTTAAATAAAGCTACTACTCATTTAAGTTACATAATTTAAGTTATAATTAAATAATATAATTATTGTTTGATTAGGTATTTTTTTATAATTTTATTGTTACTTGCTCGAGTAATAATTTCCAGGTTATTACTGCTGAAATCATGATTTCTTAGCTTTATTTTGTATCATTATTATTACAAATTATGACTAATTTAGATAATCGTGTCTATTTTTAAGTATTATTGTGGTAAAGTAAGCCAAAACCTCCTTTCTGAGGAGAGACCTTTGTTCAGCAGTGGACTAGTAAAGGCTCTTGGTTGTGAATAAGACAAGTTCGAGGAGTTGAATGTACATTGTTTATATCAATACTGAGCTTACTTTACTGTGTAATTTATACAAAAATTTGTTCCTTACAAACATAGTAAGCTCTCAAGACATATGTGATAAATTTCAACAATTTATAGGCCATTTGTGGACCCAGACCCGGATTTGGAATACTACGATGACACAATGAACGACGAGGACAACAGCGACGGAGATGAACTTCCACCATATGCTAAAATTATAGCCACATCAGAATCTGGCAGGTGAAATCACTTGGCCATACATTTACTGAATTTTACCTCAAATACTCTTGGCAAACGTGACTAGTATAATACCTAGATTTTCACTAGATCTTTAGAAGTTGTATCGTGAGACACGTTTCAAATGGCAGTAATGTTTTGTAAAATGTAATTATAATAAAAAAAAACATTTGCCTATAAATATATATGTGTGTGTTTGTGTGTGTGTGTGTGTGTGTACGTATGTATATAAAAAACTAATGCAACAACACACTTTAAAGTTTTGACATTTTAATTATTTTCTTTTCAGTGCATCCGGTCTAAGCGTAGTTTTCAACGTGGAACCAAATGATTACCCGACTTGGTCACCCATCCCTTATTATGGGGCTAAGGTGGGTTATATATGAATAATCAACCTATTTTATAATGAGACCAGTAATGATGGGAAGTAAATCAAGAAGCAAGTAATCATAGTTAGTAGAGGAAGTTGTGGTATTTTAAAGAAGGATCTGATCCCTTGTTGATTTAATATTAGTTTTTTTTGACAATTAGGGAGAAAGCTAAAGACCAAATGAGACAAGTGTACGTAGACACAAGGTTTATAAAACTGCTAATACTTGAATCATATTTAAAATATGAATTGGGTTTTATTAAAGTATAACACAATTAAACAGATTCAGGCAAGACATGAAAAACCTTTTTTAATTTATTTGGATTTTAATTACTAAAAACTCTTACAAATAGGCTTGAACAAAGATTTGACGTCTTTTTCATTAAAGATAATTAAACAAAAAAATATAAAAATATGCTCCCTTAGTCGGCTCTTACGACACCCACGGGATGAATAGGGGTGGTGACATTCTTAATCCGTCACCACACGGACACGGAGCCGACTAAGGGAGCAAACTACGCAGGACGACAGCACTGCTAAGAGAAGGAAAACTTGAAACAAACCCTATACCAACCCGTTTGGCCAGCGTGGTATAGTAGGCCAAAACCTCCTTTCTAAGGAGAGGCCTATGTCCAGCAGTGGACTGTTATAGGCTGTTGGTGGTTGGTGGTGGTGGTGGGATAAAAATATATTTAAGTACTGCTAAGGGAGTGCAAGGTCATGCTGACAACAACGTACAGACAAAATTCCTATATGTTTAGAGCATGTTGTACATTTAACGAAGAGTGTCGATATTGTCTTGGTTGCATCAAGTATCATTAGTTTTAAAAAAAAAGCAATTGTTTTCTTTTTTTATGTATATTTTCTAAGTTTATAAAAAAATGTGTAGTGTATCTTGTGTAATCATTGTACGTTTTTGTATGTAATACAAGAGCAGACAAACTTAAATGTAATTCCAGACCACTCACCGGTATACTTACTTGCTAGTTGGCTCAAGTTTAACATATTGTTAACCAGCTTTTCCCCGCAGTTCCGCCCGCGTGGTTGTCGGATATCGCGGTTAAAAGTAGCCTATATTACTTGCGGATAATGCAGCTTTACATTGGTGAATTTTTTTTAAAAATATGTTGAGTGGTTTAGCCGTGAAATCGTAACAAACAAACGCACTTTCATATCTCTAATATATGCATTGATAAACATATGGATGAACGTGTCTTACATTCCCTACGTCTCCCTTCAAACAGGAAGGGAGGATCCTCCGATCAGGGAGGTGATCATGGCAGGCGAGTCGTGGCAATACTTGATGTTGGGAAGTTATACTCGTAAATATGCTTATCGGCTTAGAACTTTCATATCGCGATACAGGATTGTTCTTCCGTAGTTTGACGTATCATCGTTATCTCCGTACTTTAATCTTCCACTGTATGTGGAAGTTGAAACAAACATATAATTTATTAAAAATACTCGTATATGATATCTAATCTGAATCCTTTCCATTTGTAAAATGTATTGATGCATAGATTTGTCATCAAGTGTTAGATTTTTTTTCAATATAAATGTTTCATTATTATTATTATTCTCTTTATTACATAATACATACATATTTATTATTATTATTTGAAATCACGTAAAATTAAATTATCGCATAAAATGATTGAGCTGGAAACCTAGGTGTGTACGTTAAACTAAATGCTGCAAACTCCGAACGAATCGTCCTCAACATCATTTTTTTTTATCGCTTCATGTAAATCAATCAACAAATTGATTACTCCATAACGATGGAAATTTTGTTTTAAATGAAAATTTGGTTTAATTTGATATTACTTAAACTTAGACAAATTCTAATGATGGACTCAATTAATCTGGTTGAATAATAAGCAGGGCATGTTTTGCTCCATTTAAAGCTCGTTAGGGAGGGTTGAATATAAATAATGGCTATTTGAAATAATTAATCACTATTATATCTTACCGTTTTATGTTTACACCAAAGAGCCAATTACCAACAAACCACTAACAAAATGTAAGCCTTTGTCAGAACTTGTTTTTTGGCATCGTTCAGTACATTCTAGTTCCTGTTAATTTTGTAAACAATAAAATAATGAAGTAGTGCAAGATGAAAAACTTTTTTTTTTTTAAGATTCTCATGTTCCCTTAAGATTAATTAATCATTAATTTTAAATGTTCTCTTTCAATAAGTTCAAAAAGCCGGAATTATAATTTTATTACATTATTATTATTATTATATTTTTATTATTATTCTGATGAATTATTCTACAACTATCCTGTAGATCAGCCATGAATATTGGCTTAGGTTATTATTCGTAGTCGTGAGTAGTATGTGAACAAAGTTGCTGTGTACGCACGAGGGGTTCATCTACAAGCCGTATACGGCCCGGGTTCCTTCTGACTACCAAGGATTTATAATGACAGAGTGCGGTGTTTAGTCAGTTCGGCTCCAACATAACCACCCCACCGGTGGGTGATAGAGTACAAATGTCATGTCATTTATCATTGATCATATTCTGTACACAAACTTAATAGTGTTTTAAAAAATGTAGTCGTACACCCAGAATTGAGATTAATGTCTAGTAAGAAAGTCTCTATAAATATATAGTGTTGAGCAAAACTACCTCTGACCCAAAACAACTTAGTTTTTTTTTTTCACATAAAATATATAGAATAAAATAATATATAACCTGACCGGTGTGTAAGCTATCCTTTTTTTACTTGTAATTCGGACTCTTTTCCACCACAGAGTTTTAAAAGTCAGGTATCGATAAAATTAGAAGTACCAGGAAATATAAATACAGTCAATTCTAATCTAAAGGACTTTTTCTTCTAAATGTGTATTCGGTGACTGTAACATTTTATATTATTTAAATAAAAACTCTTTTACAGAAACCGATGCAGTGATAGGTTATATTTAAAAAAAAAACTTTTTAGTATGTAATTGTTTTCAGATCATAATAAACGACCCAAATGATTACCCAGAAACATCAAATGTCTACAGCTATATAACTTTAGGAGAATCTGTCGATATCAAAGTAGAACCTAGGGTTTTCCAAAGCCAGTCGGATGTTCGAAGAGTCGACGCAAGTAAAAGAGAGTGTTGGTTCCACGATGAAGTCTATCTTGGACATACAGATCGGTACAGCTACGAGACTTGCTGGACCGAGTGTAAGATGAAGGCTTATTTACAGGGATGTGGCTGTATGCCCTATAAATATCCTAGAGGTAACGATATTTATTTATGTGTATACATTTTTTCATTTGTTATATATATGTATATATATTTTTATTTTATTTTTTTGACCAAACACCACTTTTAGATGCAGTAGGAGTATACTCGTAAGTGCGTAGAGCAACACGGTAGGGAGTAGTCATACGCAGGTCAAGGAAAAGTAAAACCTGGTTAAGTGAGACATCAAGGGACCTGCAAATTTGTCTTACTTATAGGGGTATTCCACTTACCCAGTATCTCAGATATCCATCGATAAATAAATATCTGTCTCATTTACAGAGAGTTCCATTAATATTCACCTTTGTCTCACTATTAAACCTTTCCCTAACCGACTTCTCGAATTTATCGATATTTTGTATCGATAGTTTTACAGCCACGGTTGTTTGCAACATAGCAATGTAGAGCGTCACTTCATTACACTTACAGAATGTGTATAGGTGTGTGTGAAAATCTTGATGTGTTATTTTAATTATTATGTGTGAGTTCCGTAGTGACAGCCAATTGTTTTTGTATGAGAGTCTGAGAATGTGTGCGTTGTCAAGATAGATTTTTGAGGGGGTACCCTCCCCGCAAAAAATGTGTTGCTCTATGTATGATAAATAATAATACTTATGTATGATAAATGATTTATATTTTATATATTAACAACTGTCGAAAAAAAACAAGAAATGATGAAACCATGTATACGTTGATATTATTTTTCATTTCACCATTAAGTCAGCAGAAATGATAAACTCCAATTTTTTCCTGACATTGTCTTTTTTTGCTATTTTTATTCTTTCTTGTAAAAATTTAAGTGTTTGTGTGTGTGTTGTCAAAATGTTTTTTATTTCTTTCAGTCATGTTTTCTTAAGCCTACATTTATCAAATAAATTAAGTTCATTTAACAATTTTTAGATCAGAATATACGTACGTGCGAGTTTGAAGATTTGCGATGCTTGAACAATATAAAAGGTATGTTTATATAAGAACCTTTTTATATTGACGAATGGTATACACACAAAAATATAGCAAGGTATTACTAATTCAAAAAAGCAAAACTTCTGCCTTAGTTCCCACATAATTGCTTTAAAAAAATAGGCTAAATTCTTTTTGCTTTACATTTCTAAAAAGACATTGTCGTTCATCAGCTACGTAGTCCCTAATGGACCATAAACCATACATCAAAACATAATCAATTAGGTTATTTACCGTTCATACATAAAATTAGCTCAGTCAGGTGTTATCATACCTTGGAAGAGTACACAGTCTGTTAGTACAGCCAATGCCATGCCAAAATGTACAAAATACCAACTTTACCAAACATAATTATAAATCATAGGACGCCATAGTTTAAAAATAAGCGAACCACGAAGCTAGTGATGACGACTGGGAATAACTGGCCTGCTGTACTATAACACAATGATGGGGCTGTTGGTCTAGTGGTTAGCGACCCTACTAAGCCGGAGGCCGTGGGTTCAATTCCCACCCAGGACAAGTATTGTGTGATGAGCACAGTCATTTGTTCTGTGTCTGGGTGTAATTTGTCTATATTTAAAATTATACAAGTATGTTTATTAGCAGTCTGGTTACCATAGCACAGGCTCTACTTAGTTTGGGATCAGACGGCCGTGTGTGAGATGTGTGAGATATATATATATATATTCTATTCTATTACTCACTTACAATTTAACTAATAAAAAATAAAATACATATCGCAGTCCCCGACGAACACTATGGTAATCGCTATTACGATAGAATCGGGTTTATTAGATATTCGTTATCTACACACCCTATTACAATCATTGAATTTTTTTTATGATCGGGCGATGAATACTTTTGGATTTATCCATTCAATAATGATCTTTATGTTTTTGTTCAACGTATAACATAAGTGAAAAATTTACACGATCAATAACGCAAAAACCTATTACCAAATCTCAAAAGTCAACATTTTAGAGTAAGCGGCTATTACCATATTGTTCGAGGGAAAAATGACAGAATCAGAATCAGAATTTATACATAGGTACCGAAATGATTATAACACCTAAAAATGATCATCGAATAAGCATGTAATTTATGTTTACCGTAATATTAAAGTCAGTTATATCATCGAATACGATTGCAATGTCATTTTACGAATATAAAGTATATTCCATTTACCAAGGAACAATATCATAATGAACGATTACTACAGCAACACCGATTTGTGATTACAGTCGAACACTATCGTAAAGTTAGTTTGCGTTAATTTTTTCCATAGCTTATTTCAGTAATGGACATTTTCACAATTTTCTTACTGATAAAGAAAATTTATGATAAAAATTTAGTAAAAATCTAGTGCAAAAAAATATTTTCTTATTTTTGATAAAAGAATCTTCTTTTTAGTCTTGATAGTATTCAAGATATTCAGTTTTTATTTGCTCCTGTAAAATTGTTATTTTCCTATTACGATTTTGTTCGTCGGGGACTGCGAATATCATATTAAGATAAAAGCTTAATTTACTTATATTAGCAACAAGAGTCAAAGAGAAACGGTAAACCTTTTTGTTTGCTTCTCCCCGTCACCCGTCTTGGCAATTTAGTTTCTTACCGGGCCTGACGTGTACATATTATGTTGTGAAGTGAGTCTACCCGAACCAATTAATAAAGTTTTAAGGTAAAATACCTAACGTTTAGGCTTTATAGAGTTGGTTACACTTACTCTGGAAAGATTTTGGAGACGACTGACTATTGAATGTGAAAACTTTTTTTTAATTTAATTCGAGAGCGAATAGGGTAAAACACATAACCTAATTAGTGGACACTACAGACATACTGCCCGAACATTAGATTATCTCTTTAGTGTCATGATTGCTTTGTCAATATAAACCAAATACAAACTCTCTTAAATCCATGAATATTTTCCCAAGAAGGACCACAAGAAGAATATATATCAGTACAATCATCGTGAACAGCCTTTAATAGTCCACTGCTGGACATAAGCCTCTCCTTAGAAAGGAGGTTTTGGCCTACTATACCACGCTGGCCAGATGGGTTGGTATAGGGTTTGTGTCAAGTTTTTCTTCTCTCTGTCCGTGTAGTGACGGATTAAGAATACGGAATGTCACTACCCCAATTCATCCCGTGGGTGTCGTAAGAGGCGACTAAGGGCGCAAAACAACGCAGGACAACAGCACTGCAAAAAGAAGGAAAACTTGATACAATCCCTATACCAACCCGTCTGGCCAGCGTGGTATAGTAGGCCAAAACCTCCTTTCTAAGGAGAGGCCTATGTCCAGCAGTGGACTATTAAAGGCTGTTGATGTGATGATGTGATGTGATTTCTTCTCTCTGCAGTGCTGTTGTTCTGCGTAGTTTTTTCCCTTAGTCGGCTCTTACGACACCCACGGGATGAATAGGGGTGGTGACACTCTGTATTCTTAATCCGTCACCACACGGACGTATAATACGCTCAGTTTAATACGAGTTTGTAAATATAAATTAATATTTGTTGATTAATACTTTTAAATAAAGTTAAGACGTTCAAGATTTTTAGTCGTGGGAGAGCTTCAGCACGAATGGGCCGGCTCGACCGGAGTGATACCACGGCCTCACAGTTAACCGGTGTTAACAATTCTTTCGTTGCCTTTCACTGAGTGAGTGAGGTTACCGGAGCCCAAATCCGTAGCCCTCTGACTCGAGCGGGAGGGACTCCAAGGGCGGCAACGTACTTGTGACTTTTGAGTTGCAGGTGTCCATGGGCGGCGGTAGTTGCTTACCATCCGGTGACCCGTCTGCCCGTTTGCCACTTTATACCATAAAAAAAAACTATTTAGGCTATAGCATTCAATAACTGTTATACTATTAAAGTTGTATTATCTAAACAAAATTATTATTTTTTACTTATTGTTTCAGGATTCGTATCCACGAGGGACATGCTTTGTACTCCAATTTGCTACGTAGAGTGCCGTGACAAAGGCTACAAAATGACCAGGGATGTAACTCCTTTTCTATCTTCATTGTACCCTGATGACGTCATGTAAGTTGATTTCAGCCATGCTAGAAAAAAATAACTATAACCAGTTTAAAGTACTAACAAGACGTCAACTAATATTGACAGTACTATATTTGCTTCAAAAATACTAATACAGCACTGTACAATTTTATGCATGTTTAATCGACTGTGGTAATGGTGGACATCCTTATTTATTTACTCACGTTGTTATTTCTGAAGGAATAGACAGAAGCGTATTAAAACTCCCACATTTTGCCGACTAAATTTTATTCACACTTATATTATACACACTTATATAATCGGGGACAAATACTTCTAGATAAACTTACATATTTATAAACGTTAAATTTTCACCCCCACCACTTGGATAATTGGCGCTTCACCACTGTGCGCTTTTCAAGACACTTTTTGCCCCGCACTACCAATCTGTGGTACAAGTTATCGACTGCGGTATTTCCGAACTGATATGACCTTCAAACCTTTAAGAAAAGAGCGTACTCATTCCTCAAAGTCTGGCGACGCACTTGTAACTCCTGAGTTGCAGGCCTTCATGGTCGGCGGAAGTTGCTTTTCATCAGGTGACCCGTCTGCTCGTTTGCCCTTATTCCATAAAAAAAAAACGTAAAGTTGGATTTGTGTACGCTTCAAAAACTCAAAAAGCTCTGCACCGATTGAGCTCAATTTGACACGAAATAGAAAATACAACAAGCTTCAAAACCTGTTTTTATCTATTTTTGTACCACAGCGAAGCGTACCAGGGTACAGTTAACACATTTACATCCGGATATAGTTCAAATGACACATCAACACAGTGCTTATCACACAATATTTGGCTTGGTGGGAGTTTAGTTAGGCAAAACAATAAACCACGAAGCCTTATTTCTATTACATAGGCTTATTATGTTTAATTTCATTGACAGTCCAGTCAATTCCCAAAGTTGATACAGAAATTCTTCCTCTTCTCAACATAACTCACCATGGAGATATTTTAAGAGTTCCCTGATATTTGAAAATGATAAAATATTTTATTATTATAAGATTCTATAGAAGTTTGTTATGAAATGAAAAAAATTGAGATGAGATCGTTACCGTACTGTTATTTTATACAAACATTCACATACAAAATTCTAATAGAGTAGATTGTATGTACACTTGTAAAATAAATAAATAAATAAAAATATATTCTACCACATATACACAACGCCATCTAGCCCCAAACTAAGCAAAGCTTGTACTATGGGTATGGTACAACTGATATAAATACATATACTTTTTTTTTGTAAATACATATATATACATAGAAACACCCAGACCAAACCAAACATCAAATGTTCATGCACACAAATGTTTGACTTGAGCGGGAATCGAACCCGCGACATTTGAAATAGCAGTCCGTTACACAAACCACTACGCCATCCAGTCGTCAAATCAAAATAAAGTTGAGAATTGTTTTAGGTGACTGTGTGTTGTAAATGTGGAACAATTTCTTTTGGTATTAGATAGATTATTAATTGAACAATATTATAGGGCAATAAATAATAACCTACGCAATGCACCACCTTTATTTACCCCATGGGTGTCGTAAGAGCATACTAAGGGAGCAAACTCTGCAAGACAATAGCACTGCAAAGAGAAGGAGAACTTGAAACAAACCTTATACCAACCCGTCTGGCCGGCGTCGTGTAGTATTTCAAAACCTCCTTTCTGATGAGAAGTCTATGCCCAGCAGTGGACTACTGAAAACTGTTGATGATATGATGATGATAATATTCACCTACGAGCCTCGGAAGCAGAGAAGTGACCTTATGGTCACACAGATAAAAAGCTGGAGAATCGCTTGCGTGCTTAATATAGCAGTTAATATAAATTGAAAAACCACCATTCACAAAAAATTTTACTTGCATATTTTATTTGAACTTCTCAATCAAAAGTAGGCATAGAATTATAATAATATTTCAATTTCAAAGGACTGAATAAGAAAGCCTCGGAAATTCAATAAAATGCTCTTCTTTTGTGAATAGAAATCGTTTAATACATATGAATTTGTATATTTCAGCAAAGGTGCGAATGAAAGCGAGCTTGCTGCTTTGCAAGTATATTTTGGCAAATCAAACTGTAACTGCTATAAATTGTCACTGGTGATTGACCTTAGTTACTTCGTTGGTGGGTATTTCTTTTTAATTCAGAGCTCCTCACTTTGCTTGACAACTAAAATACTCTACAACGTACAGTATAAATCTGTTTACCTTTTAATGGATTCACCATCATCATTATCAATAGCCTTAAATAGTCCACTGCTAGACAGAAGTATAGGCTAAATCCTCCTCTCTAAGGATATACTTCTGTCCAGCAGTAGACTGCGATAGACTGAAGTTGGTGATGATTATGAAGCTTACGTGGCACCGTACGGTTGATGCTAGCGAATACAGAAAACATGATCTATGATACTGTACGGGTTTGTTAGTACAGCGAGACTATTTGTTAATTTGGCTTTCCTGTTTGTTTATTGAGTTTGTGGCAGTGGGCTGGCCATATTAGCCGCAGAACTGACAACCGTAAGGGAAAACGAGTTCTTGAGTGGAGACCGCGTCTCGGCAAACGTAGTCCGCCCACAGGCCAAGTGGAGTGACGATTTGCACAAGATGGCTGGCAGGAGCTGGATGCCAGAGGCCCAAAATCGATCTAAGTGGCTTGCAATGGGAGATGCCTATATCCAGCAGTGGACTGCGATAGGCTGATGATGATGATTGAATAAATTATATCATGCCTAGAGGATTACCGAATTTCTAGTCTTACGTTTGCAGTATGGCATGACGACATGCTGGGCTAATGTCCTGTAAGGACTTTTTTCCACGGTGAGTTCAATCGTGTTATGACCGATGAAGAATACGGAGTGGCATCACCTATATTCTTCATTCGTCATCCTATTCATACCGTGAGTGTCGTAAGAACCGACTTAGGGAGAAAACTGTGCAGAATTATGGCATTGAAAAGAGAAGGAAAATTGATCAGCGTGGTTTAGTAGGTCAAAATCTTCTTCCTAAGGAAATGAAATGTCCAGCAGTAGACTTTTTTTTTTTTTTTTTTTTTTTTTTCCGTGCGGAAATCCCCTCGGATACCACCTGTCGGTGGCATGTCGGACTCGAACCGACTAAAACCGCACGCCTTCGCCGGGTACTAATAGCCGGGGAACCAGGTATACCCTAGAAAGGAAGGCCCTGGTGCCCCGACATACCTCGGGTCATCTACAGACGAGTAGACGACCCCCGAGCAGTAGACTACTAAAGGCTGTTGATGATGATGATAGTACTTTTATGTGAAAAACAAACAGTTTTGTCAATCCGAAAAAAAAACAAAAAATATTATAACTATAATAGGTAAAAAAGAACATTTAGAAAATTACTTCGTTGTCCGTCTGTCTGAACTGTCTGTCAAGAACCTTAAAATAATCTCTAATTTGTACCCTATTTAAAGTATGACATTAAAACTTCAACGTATTAAATACCATGATATATTTTCATAGTTAGTAACTTCTTAAAATATATGATAATTTATATGAATATATATATGAATATATATATATATATACATATATATATATGATAAATACATATGATAAAAAATGATATATTGACTGCACGGATGGCGTAGTGGTTTAAGCGGTCGCCACGCCGCTTCCTACTACGCCGAGTGTTGTGGCTTCAAACCCCACATGGGACGACACTTTGTGTGATCCGCAAATTGTTGTTCTGAGTCTGGGTGTCCTTTGTGTCCGTTTCATGTATGTTTGTAAAGTCCCCCGCGACACAGGATTTATTCCTAATGCGGGCGTTGTCTTTTTGTAAACAGTAAAAAACAGTAAATTCCATTTGGTTCTAGATCAACGTGGTGTTTAGAACACTAAGGCATTTTCTCTGAAATTATACAGGACAGCTCATTATTAAATTCCAAGAATGTGAGACACCTGAAAGAACAGTTGACCTTTGATTTCCTTACCAGTGAGGATCACTGGAAAGGAAAATTTAATACAATAAAAATATGGTAATTTATCCTTAAATTACCATAGTTTTATTGTATTAAATTTAAGGCTTCCATATTTAAAGAAATACCTGAAAAGATGGAGTCGTAGAAATACTGGTTAGACAGTTGGGGTCATGTTATGAGGGTTTTGTTCTTTTTACTTTTATTTACTTTTATGGTACGGAAAGGATTTGGTTTAATGAATAAGAGTTTCGAGTTGACTACTACATTTAAATTGATCATACTATATTTCTAATATATAAAATTCTCGTGTCGTGGTGTTTTTTACCAAACTTCTTTGAAACGGTTGGACGGATTTTTATGAAATTTTATGTGCATATCGAGTAGTTCTGAAATTCGGCCAACATCTATTTTTCTTAATGATAAGGGTCTGGTCTAAATGATAAGGACCCACCCCTATTTTTTTTTTTTTATTATGATTTAGCATGATCTTTTGATCATGATCACGGAAGACAAGAATACGGAATTTCACCCCTATTCATCCCGTGGGTGTCATAAGAGCCGACTAAGAGAGCAAACTACGCAGGACAACAGCACTGCAAAGAGAAGGAAAACTTGAAACAAACCCTATATTAACCCGTCTGGCCAGCGTGGTATAGTAGGCCAAAACCTCCTTTCTAAAGAGGGGCCTATATCAACAATAATGTATATGGCAAAACAACGTTTGCCGGGTCAGCTAGTTTATTTATATGACTAAGATTATTGTCCCAGCAAGACAAAACCTTCAATTCTATTAGATCTCTGTATTAAATCACACAAAACCTTTTTTTTTACGTGTGGAAACCCCCTCGGGCCGTCACCAAACCGGGGTTTGCGGCGAGGTAATGTGTCGGACTCGGACCGACTAAAACCACACGGTGTGCCACTCTGGAGGGATCCGGGAACTGCTGTTATTAAATCACGCATAACCTACTATTACCTAAGTAATATTGATGCGACCTAAACTGTGTGTGTTGTGTAAAGATATAAATTTTACCTGTGTTCACC